CATTTCTTCAAGGGTTTAAGCACTTGAAAACAATACAAAAAATATTTAATCATTCTAGGCTAGATACCACAGAACACGTTGCCAAGGGTTAGCTATGAACTTATCACAGGAGAGTGCTAAATTATTATAATAAAAATTTTAAACGGCAAATATTTTTTCTTTTTGCCAAGTGAACGGGACAGGTGTTTGAGCTAGGTGTACATTCAGAATGTAAAGTATGATTGGGTATGGGACTGGCATTGCAATGTTGGCAACAGTTTTCATGCATCGTTCCACACTCCAAAAGTGCTCAACTAACAAATCTTTGTGTGCTGAGTTGGATGTAGTTACATACATGTTCACTGTAGATACTGGATGCACAGACACTTCCCACTTGTGAAGAAATGGCATATTCCTAACTCTGGAGAGAGAATCTTGTGAAGGAAGCCGTAATCCCGAGAGGAGTAACTATGGAGTGAGAGTGGCACTACGGTGCTCCAGCTGTTTTCGTATTTGTGACTGAAAAAGAAAGACAACCCATTATTTATGTGTGTGAGTACACTCGTGGATTATACACAAAGTAATAAAAATGAGTCAAGGAGACCAAATGGCAGACCCAGATTTCTGAGCAAGTTACATTTTAACACTCCACACTGTCCTGCTGACTCCCTGACATCCTAATATATATTGACTGTATTGTCCTATATTATCTACAACTTAAGTAAGACAAATCCCTTGTTTCTTTCTTTGTTCTGGACAGGATTATGCATGCACAAAACGCATTCAAGGAAAGGGCACTATAGGAAATGAACATTTAAAATGTTTGACCAAGTCTGCGCATGTCTCTTAATTTACTGATTTGAAACTATAGGTCCAGGTTAGATAACCTTTGTTAGGGGAATTCCAGCAAGATCCTGGAAAGTACCAACACTTCCTGCCTATAAGGGGGACAGATTTTACAGAGAACTATACTATACATGTGCCATAAAGTTATTTTATTTTATAAATATTTTATGATTCCTTATGACTTATACCTAGCAGCTAAGTAAGAATCCCATTGTGACTAGACCCTACGTAAGTCTTCTGACCGCATTTCCCTTCAGCATGACACCATGTTCTTACCAGTTTCCACCTTAGTATCTTAATCCATTCATCTGCTTCTACTCCAGTCTTTGCACACAGGTAATATGTCCTTAATGGGAATACTAAGCTGTAAATGGAACATAATTAAAATAATGTATTAATCTCTCAGAATAACCAACAGTTTTTCCCAAAGCTAAATTCTGTTTTGACACCTGCCAATTTTTTTCGTTAAGACTCAAGAGTGATGGAAAGATGCTATACTTACATGGCTTCTATCTCAGGTGAGTCTGTGGAGAGTTTAAACTGTGTTTAACCAGAACTGTTTTTAAATTTGGTATTTGAAAGGGCAATACTTGTTAACTTATTGTCCCTTACTAATATAAAAAATGTGTTGCATTAACTGCTTTGCAGCACTGGGCACAGAGTATCTCTAGTGCATGCTATGAACAGCAGCCATGGTTAAACAGTGGTTGTGGCTTGACCATGATTACACATGCTTACAATAGGGCTAAATTTGTACCTGGACAGGTAAAAGGATTCCAGGCCAAAGCTGTGCAGACTTGATCAAGATATCTGCAATGAATGGATAAAATATGGAATGGGAGATGCTTGATAACACTCACCAAGCATCAAACATCTCTCTTAGAATTAACTGGCTATAAAATAGTAAGGGTTCCTGAATATTTAGGCCCTTAAAAAAGGAAACTAGAAAAAGAATCAAAGGTTCATTTTTCATTACAGCTTACCAAAAACAGTTGACTTTTTCCTGTGAGTAATCAAACTGTACCGCTGAGCACTCTGTTAAATCTAGTGCCCGGATTGGTTCGGTGGCCTTGAAAATAAAATACTTTAAAAATTAGAATTTTATGAAATTGGCTTTTGGGGTTTTTTTGGTCTCCTAACCCTCCCACCCCAAGTAGGTAGGGTGGTTGCCCTTGTCACCCCTCCCCAGTTATGCCACTGAGCTGACCTCATTCCCAAAGCAGGGAATGGACACACTTCCCTTTTTCCATGCACTAGGCCAGTGATACTGAAGTAAATCAAGAGTAGCACCATTGACGCTACTGGAACCAATCCAAATAGTGTAACTCAAAGACAAATTTAGCTGAATGTAAGAAGCAGGGAAATAACTTGAAAAGTAGAACTGCACTGATGACAGGTCATGGCACTGCCAGCTGAAGGATAAGAGGTGTGGGCAGACTCAAAACCCAGATTAAGCCTAACACTGTTACCAGATTAGCAGCCATTTTCACATAGTTTCCAACTAACAGGACTTTAGCTGAAGGAAATAAAAGGCTGTTTTGGGATCTGTGTGTCAGAGGATTGGTTAAGCAAGGGAAAGTTTATCCTTCTTAGTAAAAGAACCAGTGAAGCTTGCTCACTGGATCATACCAGGTATATATAACCCAGCTGAGGGAGATTCAGTTAATGCCTCAGGATACTAAATGGGTTTAATCTGGGTGAGAAGAAAAGTAAACATGAGACCCAAGGCTATCCATTGCCATGAAACTGTTCTTTCCATTTTTTTGTCCAAGTACAGATGTGTCTGGCTCTATGGTTGAAGAAAAACAAACAATTTTGGAAAGTGAGTGAACTCTCTCCAGGTATGAGAATCTGGTCTGGATCTGGCCTTTGTTTCTGCTTGAGCCAGCTGGTCACAAAGAGGTTTACTAAAGTGAAAGATCAGACTATTCTATGCTAAAAACGCTTTGCCTTTCCTACTTGAGATGAAGCAGTATGTATACTACTCTTTTCTCCCCAAATTAGCAACTGGATGGTTCGACTGGAGGCGATATTCTCTGTTAAAGGTTGCTCCTGACTTGGTAAGCAATTCTATTCAAATGTTTGACTGCCTTGTGAAATGCTATCTTAATTCAAATTAGATTCAGTATGAAGGCATGGACTGAACTGACTGAAGCATGCATGTTTATAAGAGCAATGTATGGAGTTGTAACAGAGGTAACCAGTGCTGCACTGCCTGATTAAAAATCTGTTGGCGATCTTGGATGGAAAGTATTTACTTTTATAGACACCTCTAAACTTGTTGGTGTTACAAGGGCAGAATAATCATCCACAGGGGCCTAGGCAAAGAAAAACTAAACACGGAAAATAAAAAGGTAGTTCGCTGTGTCAACCTGAAGTCAGACAGGGTAGAGGTGCACCCTACAGAGAATAACAATTGCCCAAGAAAACCTAAGTTGTTACATCTGGGGAAAATAATTACAGCAGCATATCATAATAGGAACAATAGGAAGTAGATGCTTAGATAAGTAAAAATGCCCCCAAAATGCTACATCACTCAAAGGGATAAAAGCAAAACCGCCTCCCCCCTCCCAAGAAAAAGAAAGAAAATGTACATTGAAAGCTAGTGATGTTGTCTATCAGTTTGTGGTACATTACCCTTCATGAAAGCCTTTTGTCATTTAAAGCTAGACTGACTAAAATAATTAAGAACATGTAGGAGAGAACAATTTTGCATTGGGGTATGGTCAAGATAGAAAAGATCTGTTAGAGTCTTTCTAATATTGATTAGCCTGTTTTTACTAATGTCACTGACAAAACTTCTATTGACTTTGCAGAGAGCAGGTGCGGTCTCTCTGACACCTAGCAAACAATGTGGGCAAACCATGTCATGTGTTTAAAAAAAAAAAAAAAGCAGGAATTTAAATAGGGAAAATTGTGGTTGATTGGCTTTATCCTCAAAAATACTATGACACTCGCAAATCCCACTGAAGTTCAGAGTTGAATATTTATGTTATTTGAGATCAGACCCTCATTGCGATAAGATGGTTTAGAATAATGGCACATTACAATTTGCTACTCACCGTCTGGTCTTTGAAATATTTAAGTTCATTCCTATGCAGTGTAAACCACCTAGTTTTCCAGTTCTGAAATAGAAAAAGAAAAAAAAGGAAATTGCTTTTTAATTGCTGTATTTTTGTTTTAAACATCTCAAAAAGCCAGCTTTCCATTTAAAAAAAAACAGTTTGGTAAACATAAGTTAAAGCATAGCTGATCACTTTCTTTAGCCAGTGATGTCCCATGTAAAACTAAGATAACTGTCAAAAGGAGAATATAAGCATTGTATTAAAAATGTGGATAAGAAATGGTCAAGATTTTTGTTTAAGGACATCCAAACTTTACTAGTGTGTGTAATGCTAATCCTATTATACCTTCTCTCGAAATACTGCAAAGTGCTTTATAAAAAAAACAAAAAAAGTCATCAGCATTTTGCAGGGTAGATGGGGAAAAGTGAGTTTCAGAGATGTCAGAATGACTTGGCCCTGGCCATGTAGTGAATCAAAGGCAGAGCAAGGAAATAGGGCCCTGATCTTGTGATTCCCACAAGCTGCCTTTTATAAATGGTTTTGAGGGCTTGGACTGGCATATGCCATGTCAAGGACTCCAGCCCTGCGAGGTTCAGAACTCCTCCCCTTGGAAAGCTGAGGGTGTTCAACACCATGCATTATCAGGACTAAATAAACAAGAAACAGAGGATCAGACTGTCTGTTATCTGTAACAACACAAATACAAATGTACGTGTACAAAATGTTCCAGCATATTGGTATGTGAACAAAAGACTGTGAAGAAGAGATCAAAGGCACCCATGACTATTTATCTGTCATTTCATTGTAATGGTGAAATTGCTACTATCAACTAATGGGATATTGGGTTATAAAAGTAGGCTTTTTTATTTTCTTATTAATTTTTCATTTCCTCCTTCAGACCTGGGATGGAACAGAAGTGTGTGAAAGCTCTGAAGTTTTTTTTTTCTTACCTTTACTATTTTGCCTTGTTTTATCAAATACCCTTCTTTTGTACCCAGCTGCAGAAGAAATGAGAAAGGAGGACAAGGTTAAGGGCTGCACAATGTTTGTATTTTTTAACCTTTTCATTTTGAGCAAAACAAAACCAAGCTACAGCTAGTTCTCTTCTAGATGCTTCCCACAACTACTTACTTTACCTTGTGTGGCTTATATACTGTCCCTACTGTGTGAGCCAAACTCACCCATGATGTAAACATATAATTCCAATAACTTTAAAAGAACAGCACCCTCTTACACCAGAATTCAAACTGGCCTTTGGTGCATGAAGACTCTGGCCAGCACAGAGTTCTCAAAGAACATAGTGGGCCAAGTTCAGTGAAACACACCAATGAAGAGTTATTTTAATTCATACAATTGACTCATTGTTCATGTGCAGCAAGATGTCACATGCTGCAACCATCAAATTCTGGGATTCTTCCAGCCAGTGAGATTATCTATATAAACTGCTCTTTTAAAAAGATTAACAACAACAAAAAACTTCTTTGCTTTAGTTAAGCATCCTCTACACATAACAAATGTGCTTGCAATAAGAAATAAAGGAAATGGACAGCGTGTTACTTCAGTGCATGTTCCAGAGAATGTTTGATTTGGTCGGGCAAGTGTCCATTTGACTTCAGAAGGAATCCTAGATGCATGACTTTGGCCAACGTTCAGACGCAGTCAGTAATTTGGGGAGCTTCAACTTACTGGATCTCTCACTTGCAACATCATGAAGGAGTCTGACTTTTCCCCAAGTGAACATCTGAAATTCAGACCTCCTTCAAATATCAGGTGAATAACTACCTGAATTTGACTAATTTGAAAATTCTGGCCTTTTTGATGTTGGCATGTGAAAGGTTCACATATTTCTTTAAGGATAAAAATGAACATTGCCACAGCAGTTTTCTTGCATGCCTGACCATCTCTCTGACAGGGACAGGTTTTCCTGATCTCTCCTCCTAATTTTTAACGCTCATCTCTGTTGTTTTGTTTTCCTTTATTTTTCTCAAAGAATTAATTCCATACTTGCATACAGCACCTTCCTCTCTGTGCTGCATATTGCTGTCCTGGACATTTGGATTGTATCCTGGACACACCACCTGTCTCTACTAGACATTGGATACTAAGGATTTAAAGTCTCCAGTTACTGTTCAGGCAAGTCACAGATGGCAGAGGCAGGGGGACCAAATGGGGATGAAAATGTTCTCTTGTTTCTCATACCAACATGGACCAAATGGATATGAAAATGTTCTCTTGTTTCTCATACCAACACAGCACAGCTTTTACCATGCTCAAAATTACAGAAGCTGAAAATAGGGAGCACAGGCTACAACTTCATAAGAGAAAGCTCAGTACAAATCACCCTCTGTACACTGGGGATACTTCACCACCGCTAGCATGCCCCATGTCTCCCAAATGTTATCTGAACTGTGACCTTCAAATAAATAGTATAAGGATAAGGCCTACATGAACTGTGCATGGATGTCCAAACATGCTATTACTGAAAAACTTTTGAACACTTGTGCAAATATTTAGCTGGGTACCCCACCCAGTTAACTTGGCGCTCCAGCACACAAGGGCTCACTCAAGTCCTCCTCTTCTTGAAACTTGCCCTTGCCTCTTCCAAATATTTGCATGATTTTTTAAAAGAAAAAGTAGAGGTACATTTCCTTGAAGTAACAAAGGGAGGCACATCACTGATATTAAAATGCTACTTTAAGCCAACAGTAATATTATAAAATGAAGACGTTAAATAGCTATTGATTTGTTTTGAGGTAAATTTGTAGACTTGTAACCAAACTACTATTTGCCTCCCTGCTCAGCTAAGCCAGTCCTGCAGCTCTTTATTTTACTCTTAAGTGAAACGAAATAAATTTCCCAGTAATTTTAAAGGAAATTTGCTTGAGTAAGGCCTGTGGCTCAACATACGTATTTTCACCTACAGTCTGAATCTATCAGAAACATCTCTAAATCACTAAGTCAAACAATAAGATGGGAGGAGGGAAAAAGTTTTAGGGCTACTTTTTAATGTTAACATTCTTAAAGATGAACTTCTAGGTTTCTATTTTTCAAGAGTCAAAAATATGTAATTATGACAGATATTTACATATAACATCTCTAATTAACATTTTCAGTCAGCATTGCACCCTCTGAGAAGAATGGCAGGAAGCTTCTTATTCATCACATCACTGCTTCTAGCCAGGTGTTTTTTTTATTATTTGTATTCTTATTACTGTAATACATGTATAAACATTTTAAGAGGACTGATCACTAGTGCTTATTCCAGGGTTCATAATGTTGGCCATGTCACATTGAGTCAAGGAAAGGACACTTTGTAAAATAGTAACTTACAGAGGGAGCATTTGGGACAAGATCGTTTTCTGTTTTTCCTGTCTGCATGGCAGTGTGAACTCGGACAGACTCATAAATGGACGGTTCTTCCACTTTCCGAGGATATGGATGTTTCAGTACAATCAAGGTGCCTGAAAGAAAGAGCATGCTAGTGAGTGCCCTGGCAAAATGGATATCACAAAACAATTAGTACCAGCTGCCTATTCAGATGATCAAACTTGAAGGTACCATTGCTGAAAACCTTCTGAATATCTGAGCACATCTCTCTTAGCTCTGTAGTTTGAAGGAAAGCTATGTCAGGACCCCTCTAGATGTTCAGGTACAGGTGTGATAGAATCTGTTGAATGATCGACACCAGGAGTAGGCAATGTTTTTTGTCTGAAGTGCCGAAAAAATGACAATGTCTACCTTGGAAGGTGCCAGAGTGCCAACATGCAGAGCCTGGAGCAGCTGTTTGCAGCCTCCCGGCTGCAGCCAGCCCACGGAGCCCCATCTGCTTTCAGCAGGGCTTGCAGCCTCCCAGCTGTCTGCTGGGAGCAGCCTGGGCTCTGTGGCTGGCAGCAGTTGCTTAAAGCTTGGGCTGGCGGTGGTGTGCTGAGCAAAATGGCCTTGCGTGCCCTGCTCAGCACGCATGCCGGGGGTTGCTGACCCCTGATCTACACAATGGTGCCACGCCTCCTGCCATGCCACACATACATGGCAGAAGGTGTGACTGTGGGATCCAGCATCAGATCCAATCATACTTTATTGCTGATGCAGAGAAAGCCCATGATTGCCACCCTGGGCTCCTCCTGCACCAGCAAGTAGCAAGGTCCCGTAGCTGACAGGACCCCCAGCCCTGGTGACACCCCAAGTGCTGTCACGGCTGAGAATCTCACAGCTGACAGGTCTTTCAGCCACAAGGGCATAGACCTTGCTACACATGCAAATTAAAGCTGGACAGAAACCGGTTATAAAGCTATTACACATTTTTCCAGGTCTAACTTTATTGCTGGATGGACCTTTTTATGGTGTGATCATCACTTTGCACGGGTAGCCATTCTAAATGTACTGTTCTTAGCCAGTCCTAACCAGTCAATTCTGTAATACATGTAACAGGTAGAGGGGCCCTAAGTCACGTATACTATCCCATGTACTGCTATAGCATGTCTGTGGTTTCAGGTTGCTCAGCAAAGAGGACAACAATCAAGTCCAAGGACAATCGGATATAATGTCATACAGTACTCAGAAATATTGATAAACTTGGGCAAATGCTTTCCAAAGCGGACAGCCCAAGCAGCTGGACTTCATGCAAGGTGTTGGATAGAACGAAAACAAAACAAAACTTTCTAAGCAAGCTACAGCATGGCAGCAGGCAATGACTAATGGACTTGTGTAGTGGTAGGTCCACCATGATGGATCCTCTCTCTTTACCTCTGTTGTATTCTTATGAATGTTTCACAGGACACAAAAAGTCAGGAACTTGGGTATGGGCTACCCAAGCCCTGCCCCTCTCCTCTGTACAGCTACAGTACATGAGTTCTGGAGACTCTTGCTCACCACTGTATGTGCCCTCTGTCACCTCTTCTCTTCTTTAGTGCAAGACTTTGCTAACTTTTTAAATCTGCCTTATCTACCTCAATTTCTTGCAGGTAGAAAAACTATGATGACAGCAAAGTTTCAAATCTTCTTGAGTTACAGTCTGAATCTCTTTTGTGCTCATGGAATAATCAAATAATATTTAAGTGACTGAATATTTAAGTTCATAGTTGTGGTTATCAGAAACCTCATCTACATTCAACGTTTAACAACACCTGAAAGTCAGTTCTTGCCCTGCAAAATTCTGATGTGGACAAGCCTCCTTCTCTTTAGAGGCACAACTATATGACTGAGCCTGATATCCTGGGCTGATTAGTATTTTCATAGCCGCCCTCAATGTTCAAGCTGCATATAGATATCCAGACTCAAGAGTTGTGAGTGGATAGGGAACCAGTTTGAACTTGAGTCCAAATGTGGAAAGACATTAGCCTCCCTCCTCTATACAAAATGTAACAAGAGGCCAGAAGAGCCAAGTAGATCAGGCATCAGGAAGCCTTCGGCATCATCTTGTCTGCCACTGACTCAGTGTGTGACGCTGGACAAATCATTTGGAGTATGTCAACACCATTTTCCTGCTACTCCTGAGGAGTATGGCTGTCAAGCTTGCCCCACCCTCCTGCTTCAATTTCATACATTCATAGATTCATAGATGCTAGGGTCAGAAGGGATCTCAATAGATCATCAGGTCTGACCCCCTGCATAGTCAGGACAGTGTGCTGGGTTCAGATGACCCCAGCCAGATGCCTATCTAACCTCCTCTTGAAGACCCCAAGGGTAGGGGAGAGCACCACCTGAGATTTTGGCCACTCTAACTGTGAAGAAGTTCTTCCTAATGTCCAGTCTAAATATGCTCTCTGCTAGCTTGTGGCCATTATTTCTTGTAACCCCCAGGGGTGCCTTGGTGAGTAGAGCCTCACCAAGTCCCTTCTGCACCCCCATGATGAATTAATAGGCAGCCACAAGGTTGGCTCTCAACCTTCTCTTGCGGACGCTGAAGAAGTCCAGGTGCCCCAGTCTCTCCTCATAGGGCTTGGCCTGCAAGCCCTTAACCAGACGAGTGGCCCTTCTCTGGACCCTCTCCAGGTTATCCACATCCCTCTTAAAGTGCGGTGCCCAAAACTGCATGCAGTATTCCAACTGCGGTCTGACCAGCGCCCGATAGAGGGGAAGTATCACCTTGGTTCTGTTCGTCATGCATCTGCTGATGCATGATAAAGTGCAGTTAGTTTTGCTGATGACTTCTGTCACATTGACAACTCATGTTCATCTTGGAGTCCACTAGGACTCTGAGATCCCTTTCCGCTTCCGTGCTACCGAGCAGGTCACTTCCTAGGCAGTAGGTGTGCTGGACATTTTTCCTCCCTAGGTGCAGCACTTTGCATTTCTCCTTGTTAAATTGCATTCTGTTGTTTTCTGCCCATTTCTCCAACCTGTCCAGGTCTGCTATTTTGCTGTTTCTGTCCAGGTCTGCTAAGTTGCTATTTCTAACATGCTGCACCCAGAAATGACGTGGTGAAGCTGCACACCACTGCCCCGCAGATCTTGTTCTCTAGTTTGCTTGAGAGCAACAGCTGGGACATTCTCAGGTCAGCTTCACTGCTTCATCTCTGGACTGGTGTCCATGTGGAGTAGGACCAGATGGCTTGGGAGTGGGGTCTCTGGGAGCACTGGGGAAGCAGTGCAGGCATACCTGTAATCCATGTGAGCTTTGCAAAATGAGAATAGTGCTAGCCCACCATAGTATATTAACCTATGGATGGCAACTATCATTACTGTCAGTGCCGCATATTAGTTATTTCAGAAGAGTTAACAGATTCTGATTTTAGGGCAATTTTTCAATAATTACAGGCTTCAATCATCAAATGGCAGTTGTTTGTTTTTAGAGCAGTTTCATTCTCTGGGTGAACAAGAAACAGTCTACTTATAAAAAAAATCAATTCTCCAAGCCCCAGCCCCAGCCTTAGCATGGGATATAGCATCCAATCATTAAATGATGAGTCATATCCCCTTGAGCTTGTGATTTTGCCAGTTCTTGTAAGCTGAGCAATCTTTGGGGTGAGAGAGGACTGAGATAGGAGGCCCACAAGGAAAACCCAGTGCTGCAGGAAGTGGTGTTGACATCAACTAGTTAGCGTTTCACCAGTGACCCAGTATGTGAAGGGACACTGTGCTGCTGTGTCAGGCACACTTATCCTGCAGACACGCAAACTTTTGTTTCATATTTAAGTCCCATTTAAGCCAAGAGGTATTCTCAATGTGAGTAAGCCTTTGCAGAATCAGGTCTTGAGAGAGAGGGTGGCAGCCCTGAGCACCTGCGAGCAATCAGAAACATGAATGTGTTTATATTTTGTCTTTCAAGTAAAGGAGGTTAAGTCTGATGCCTTGGCCATATTCTACCATATGCCCACTTGTGAAATGCTTTGGGGTGAAAGGGCGTGGGGGAAAACCTGAAATACAGGAAGCTGGTGATGAAACAGAACTCATCTGAGTTCGTATTACTTCAACATAACACAACAGACGGAAATAAACATCTGCAATGTGTAAAACTCTTTTCTGACTCTAAAAGTCAGGGCATTTACACTAAGAACCCTAACCTACAAGAAGCTAATAATCAAGCCTGCCTTCATTAATTAAACTCCACTGCCTTCTTCCTGCATGGCTAGTTACACCTGTCCTTCTCCACTCTAAATTGTTCCTTTTAGAAGGAAAACCGGGAGCTGCAGCTCTAACCGGTCCTTCTGGGCACTAGTACTAGACCACAGCCCAGCTGCACATCTCTCCCATCTAGCAAGTAAAAGTTTGGTGTGTTTTTGTTTTCCCTTGGCTTCCCCCTTTCTTTTATGCACAGCATTCCTTTAGAGGTGGCTTTTGAACAGCAGGGGAAGTTTCTCTCGTAGGTCTAGTCCACATAATTAAACTCAGGGCACGGTACACATGATGCTGCATCGCTGTAGCGACGCATTACGGAGACATAGTGACCACATGCATCTACACATGACCAGCAGCTACCTCGCTGTCATGGCATGCTCCCATAGCAGCTAAAAATAACCGTGAGCCCAGTGTACAGTGCAGTAAAGGTTGCTACTGTGCTGTACTTTAGTACTTCGAAAAGGAAGTAGCAACATCACCGTACAGGCATGTGTAGATGCGCACTCACATAATTTACCTGCATAAGCCCACATAATTTACCAACTGGCTGCTCGGGTAGTTAACAAGGTTGCAGGCTTCCTAGATGGATCCTATTATCTTCCCTCGCTACAAGAAAATTAATATCTCTGCGGCAGGCCCAAGTTTAGTATAACGTTACACAGCCAGCTTTAAGTGACCTAATTCAGGTGCCAGAAGCAGTTTTGCCATGGTAACATTAAGCTTTGTCCAGAAAAAAGCTGCAGTGTAGACATGCCTTAAGAGACCAGGGCTTGCTAGAAGGAAAGAAAGGAAAACTTGATGTCCTACCTTTACCTACACTTAACCCACAAGAGGCCTCTAGAAACCCCGATGTCCAGGATATATACTGAGCTCAATCAAAGGGACCAGCAACTTTGCTTGTTAGGTGAAGCTGGTGATAGCCAACAGAACTACCATTTTCTTTTCTCACTCCTTGCACAGCTCTATGAATGTACAACACTACCAACAGACTTTTTTCATAGATTTCAAGGTGCATAAACAGGGGAGGACCAGTTGTTATTCCCAGTTTCCAAATGAAGAACTTGCATCAACTCTCAGGAATACAAGTCCCAGTCCAATGATTTACCAGCAGTCACTCTATTTCTCTATCACAACAAGAACACATCGTATGAAATTATTAGTCAGTTAGCACTTTGATCTGGTTAAATTGTTTTAAGAAAGAAATATGGAATCTTCTAAAAATAAATTAATATTGTTGTTCGCCACACTACTATTTGGTAAGAGTATGTAAATCATATAAAGGGCATGTTATGTTTTTCAGACTAACCTTCACAGAACTGTAACTAAACAGTGGAGTGCTTATGTTTATAAAAAAACAGTAGCAAAAGCGAACTCTAAACTTAGAATGGTGCTTCAGGTCCAATGCCCCTCACCCCCCAGTTGCAAACTCTCAAATCCCCAAGCCCACAATCCTAGCTGAAAAAGCAGATCAAGGAGATGCTCCAAAATAAACTTTCAGTGATTGCTGACTTATTAAACCATGAGATCACTTATGTTTTTCAAAGGGGGAGATGGAAAAAAAGAGTATTTGAAGTAATTAACTGACATCTGATCACACAAACATGGGAGCCTGTAAATGTGATATTCAATTTGATATAGGTCTAAGGTCATTGTCAGTTTAATTCTCCCTAAGCATATGGAAAAATACTTTAGTGTTTAAAAGGGACAGGATCAAGAGGCTGTATGTAGAAATTGCTCTAAATTGTATTGACTTGAACAGGGAGTAAATTCCCATGTTTCCCGTATTTCATAGAAGATGACAGCCCTGCTAGAGAGCTGCACATGCAGTTTAAAGCATTTTGTTAAAATGATAGCCTTTATTAGTATTCTGTAGGATTTTTCTGAAAGGAAGATTTTTGTTGAGTCATTCAGTAAATACGTAAGAAATTAACTGGGCCAGTAAACGTTGAACCCTTTAACCAGTACCAAGATTGTGGTGGGGTTTTTTCTGGTATATTTCTCTACCTTCCAAGGAATTAGAGTACTCTGGAGACTGACAAAACAGGAAATATTAGTATGTACCCATGTTCTTAGAAGTTTCAGTCAATTAAAGTGAACTTGGTTTTCATATCAAGTGTGTCTGGTTAATGACTCAAAGTTTCTAAGTAGCTTTAAAAACATTGTAATTGAAAACTAGGAAGCAAAGCAACCAATAGGTAAGAATAATCTCCTGCCTATGTCAGTATGGTAAGAAAATAAATATGATAGTATATTACTTCTACCATTGTTATTGAAAACAGCCTTTATAACTGGATCAGCTCTTCTGTTCAAGAAACCTTACAGTAGATATTAACCTGCATTTCATTTTTATTATTATCTGAAGTACCCAAACAGGTGCACATGTTTCAACCTTGGTGTAAAACCAGCATGAATGCACACAGCTGTTTGATGTGACTAAAGGAGATCTAGATAAATTTGACAAAAGACCAGCATGAAAGAATTCCAGCATCACATGCAAAACTTTGCTGGATCAGGACTTTGGGATTCTTCAACCAGAGATTTCAGAAAGCCTTGCGAATTCAGTCAGGATTCATTTTATTCAACAGGTGGATAACTGAATGACTTGCCTGAAGTCCCATGAGTCAGTGTTAGTGTGATATGAATTTCCTTGACTCCACAGGATGCCCTAGTTGAGCTATATTAGAAATGTGCTCCAGTCCATAAACATGAGCACTGGACACTCTTCACAAGAGCTCCAGACTAGTTACAGGCACTGTAACATGGCAAAACTAGATATTCATATAACATTACAAAGCTGTCATCACGATGAAGGCTTTGAAATGGAGCCATTTCTCATTTTATAAATGGTTTTCTACATTTTTTCAAAATGCTTATCTGAAGCAGAAAAAGGTTAACATTTTTCATTTCCTCAATCTTTCTGACATTAAAAAAAAATAATTTGCTGAAAAACTGGGTGTTGGTAAATGAAAAGGTCTTCCATTCCAGCCACAAACAGAGACATTTGATAATGCTACTGTACCACCAAGTTTACATTTAATATAACCCCTCCATTTTACATTAATAAATATTTTGCCCACAATGTTAGGAATAATCCCCAAAACTACCTTTCTTTCCTAGTAACCTTGAACTTAGCCTGAGAACCATGGTCTTTTTTTGTGTGATGTGGTCTCTTTCAGAGTTCTCTTATTATTGGTAACAAAATTTTAAATTGTACTGTTAAAGATCTATTGAAAATAATTTATATTTCATCTCATTCTCAGTTTGTTGATGACCGTGTGTTTATGGAGTCTTGCCTAGAAGCAAGCAAGAGGACAAAATTATCAAGTCCTTCTTTTTCAGTCTTTCTGCTGAGCTGACCTTTTTTCATTTATCATGCATAACATAAAAAAAAGATTATATAACTACTGACCACTAATGCCTGAGCCAAAGTTCTCATGTTCCCTGTTACTGGATGGCAAAATGGATTGTGTGCCAGGAGACCTGGATTCTGTTTCTGGTTCTCTCACTGACCTATCACTTATTTCATCTCTTTGTCTAGTGACACTTCTGTATAATAGCTAACTATTACAGTTCTGAGAGCAAGTTGCCTAAATAGACCAGCTCTTACAACCTGCTTAGTGAAGTCAATGGGAGATTTCAGGGGACTTTGATGAGAGCAGGACTGTACCCTTTCTCCTCTAAACAGGCCATTACCCCACAGGCTTTACAAGGTTTTGAGCCCCCTCTATGTAAAGCCAGCGTTCCTCAGCTGCTAACTCACTCTCCCTGTACATTGCTGCATATAGGAAAGTAAAGTAGAAGGTGATACACTCCTTGATAGGATGCCCACTACCTATTTCCAACTGACAGCTTTGTCTGACTCAGACAGATGAAAGGTGTTTCACAGAGCTGGCAGAATCTGATTAGGGGGCCATTAGCTAAGCAGCAGGCACATCCTTCAGCAGTTGGGATCCAGCTCCCAGAGATCATATAACACCAGCCCCTTACTTACTAATAGATGTAACACATGGAGTGTGAAGGAGGGGAAAAATCATAATTGTCTATATGACTTCTGAAGTATTTGAAGGGTAATCTAGTGGGTATATTTCTGACTTCAGGAAAACATCTCACAACCCAAAATATATATTTAGATTAAAACACACCCATCCTCAGTATTTCTGGACTACATATGGTACGGTAACATATAACATAACCTTTTACGCATAAGAAATACGTAGAAGTGTTTTAGTGCTAATTTACTATTTTATATGCTAGCACAATAATTACAAAAGCAAATAATAATTTGTGTTAACAGTAAGCTTTTGTCTCTGAGTTATTACCATTCTTCCACTTTGGGCCTTACAAATGTTAACTTATCCTTGAAATGTCACTGGGAGTTTGGCAGATATTAGCTTTATTATGGCTATGATTTACTCACAAGAGGGAAGACCTGCTCAATGTCACAGAGTTGACAGAGAGCCAGGATTAGAACTCAGGAGGGCCGCGCACCTAATACCATGTTCTTAGCACTAGATCACAGTCCTTTCTTTCCCTTGGGAGGCTTTAAATTTCATCAGTACACGTGAATTAGTTCTTAATCTGCTGATTCAAGTAGCTGCTTATCTGTTGCAATGCTCTGTGGTTTTAAATAACCAACTGACTTAGGAAATACTAAAAGAAATATCCATGGTATAGGGACAATATATTAGCAAGCCAGCTGTTTCATTCCAGTAAGAGTAGAGGAGAGTACAGGGCATGTCAACTGCAGGGAAGGGGAGGAAACCATTTGGATTTCTAAGTAGGAAACTGCAGAAATATACACTTCCAGCATGCCATCCTCTACTTTCAGCTCATGCTTCCAGATACATGTTCTTCTAAGAAGATCATTCCAAAATATTTTGGGCATCAATGTTGTTTTTAACCCTTTATTCCATAACCTTTCAAAAATCAAACAAATTAGTTATTATTAAGTCTTGTTGTTGCCAACAAATGCAGGTTCTGTAATGCTCATTGTGGATTAAGACTGTGCTACTGTCAGGAATTAGAAAATGGGTTTTTTATCAAAGCATGTATTGTGTACGCACGTTATTAGACAAGTGCATAACAGGCACAGATAGTGAGCATCATCCTCTCTCACCCAGGGCCAATTCTGGTCTCAGTAGCACTATCATAAATCAGAATCAAGTCTGATAATAAGATTACTGATATCAAGTCTGGTGATATAAATTGCTGATAAGAACAATTTTTAGAAATCTTTACTTCATCCCTTAACTCTTTCAAACCTGTTCCAGATACTTGCTGAATTCTAGCAGATACAGTATTTTTATCTGTTGCTTCATAAAGCCAGGGGTCTCTTTACTCCAAGGTACTTTAAAGTTGGTTTAATATAAAATGGACACAATGTTGCTTAAGAATAGGAGAACAACTCTGTTTAAGAATTGGATATGCCCAGTGACCTAAATGGTTTTGTCCTATTCTGGCAAAATCATACCCTGCCAATGCTAGGTCTGTGTTTAGGTTAAGCATACTATGTCTGGAAGGAATATTCCCCTCAGGTACATTTAATATTGGTAAACAAAATAATTGATGAAGAGGAACGTCTGATCAACAGATGAATTTAAGGAAGGAGTTAAGTAAAAATATTTCTGATTTTAACACAGTGTGTTCACTAAAAGCTTCTTATATCCCTTTACATAAGCACATACACAAATGACTGCAAACACACACATTATTTACCTGTTTCACTTCCAATTAAAGGCTGGTTTGCGAAATGGTTGACTAAATCTTTCACGCTAGAAAACTCATTAAAGCCAAACTTGAATGCAGACTTCACATACTCCACGTGGAAGTGTTTGACAGAATCTCTTGCTCTAAAAGGAGAAAGACAATTGTCCAGAAAGGAAAGATTTGAAAATAAACAACAGGTCTGAGGGCAAAACTCAGAAGCCCATACCAAAAAAGGCATGGGAGTTTAGATACCTAAATGCTTTGGTGGACTTTGTCTCTGTTGCTTTGCTTTTACCCAACCCATGTTATTTGAAGACCCCCAACGCTTACAAATGCTGGGCCTGATTTCCAAAGATAAAGCATGTTCACAAATCCCACAGACTTCAGTTGGAGCTGTAGGAGCTTGACACTTGTGAAGGTCAGTCCAATTAATTTAGACTTGGTAGGGTAAACATCATCACTATTCTAGAGATGAACAGGCAGTGAAGGCACAGAAAGATTAAGTGACTGGAACTAAGTCATATTGTGAGTTAGTGAGAAAGCTGAGACTAAAAGTCAGTTGTTTTGACTTGCAGTCCTCTGTTCTAGCCAACATGATACTTGTTAGTAGTGTCGTTAACTCTTAAAACAGGAACATAAGACTGGCGAGGGCCTCTTGGGCAAGCAAGTCTGGTCTGTTGCATAAGCATGCACTCATTTACCCAGGGAAGATGTGGCCTCTCTACATATTTTTCAGAGATCCCTCTAAATCTCATTGAAATCACTTCCTGTAACTTTTTTAAATTAGGCCACCTATATTTAGGCACCTAAAAAGGATTTTGAGAGTCTAACTTTAGGCATTCATGTTTCAGAGTTTTAGCCTACTATTTACATGTGCTGCCAAAAGCTCCAGTTAAATTTGGGACCCTGCTCTGCTAGGTATTGTACATATGCATGTACACACGCACTAGCTAAAGAGCTATACCAGTCTTGCTTTCCTGGGTAGATGTTTATTTACCTGTAAGCAGCAAAGCAGTTAATATATAAGGAGTTAATATGTGGCAGCTAATAAGGAACCACTGTCAATAGAAGGAGCACAGGCATGAATACTGTATTTTCTCACATACAACATGCACCTTTCCCCAAAAATCACCCATGGAAAATTGTGGTGTGTATGTTAAGCAGAGCAGCTGATTTTCTGACCAGGATAGAAGCTCCCCAGTTTGATTCTTGCTTTGCAGTACAGAAGCTGTGACATTACTATTTAGGCAGCTGAGGGAGTCAGTTGACTTAATTGGTCCATTTTTCTTCACTCCATAGGTGCTAACAATAGTCTATCCTTTTTAATGGTCTCAGTGTTCCACTAATCAAGCTAACCTTTTTTAGGGCAATTTTGCTGTCTTGCTGCTCCAGGTCTCTCTCATATTTCATAGCCCTGGAGCCTTCTTAGCAATTTTCAAAATCAAAGATCCATCCATGGAGACTAGTCTTCAGCAGCAAATAGGGTTTTAGATTTTGTAAAGTAGGAAAAGGAGGGTAGGCCAGCTGAAGATTAGATTCTGTCTCTGTCTTCTACAACCATAACTCAAGAAAAAAAATCTTCATTCTGCCTTTCAAAAACAAGGTGTATATTATATTCTGGGACATGCTGTATGTGAGAAAATATGGCATTTCTTTTGTTAAAGCTGACATTGTGAATGGTTGTCTTAACACCCAAGACAGTCTGGAGAACCTTCAGCAAAGAAGGCTGATGGTGGTAGGGATAGGGAGCAGGGGAATTTTGATTGTGGAAAATTACAATGCCTAGCATACTTTACTAAGTCTTTTAAAAATAAGAAGCCACACTCAAAGCATAACTGGCTTCTCTGTAGTGTGCATTTAAGCCTTTTATGCCCCGCTTAGGTGGCTAAGACTACCCTCTGCCTTAGTCACTCCCCAGAAAAACTGTGTAAACCATGGGCTGACAGCCTACTTGTGCATAAGCTTCTCGCTACCCTGAGATCATGTTTCTATTCTTTCAGCTAATTTCACAAGAAATAAAGTGTGGCAATGAGAGTAGCCACTACTCGATGTCTTAGTTCCTCTTTAAAGTTAACTGGAGGAAATTCAGGGCGTGTGTTGTCATGCTCACTGGCTTCAGATTGCAAATGTCAATCAAAATCCCAAGGGATATCTGAGCATAGTTTCATGCTAAAACAACCCCCTAATGATGTCTGATAAAGTTACAGGTGTGGGTGTAGAGAGTAGAGAGTTGAATAAAAGCCACAGAAGGTATTGAGGAAAAAAGGCCAGAAATACCCAGTAATGCCCAAAATAGTGCTTTCTTTGAAAAAATATTTGAATAAAATGAAAACTTTTAATTTTGTAACAAAAGCATGTGTTTTGTAACAGACAAATCTAGTGAAAAGGGTAAAAGGTAGCCAGCATTTTTATTTTGCTTGTAATTTTTTAATAAAAAACCTAATACATTTGTTTTAAAATGAAAAAGTTTTTTCCCCTACTTTTTCCCCGTTTTAGTAGGGGAATGAATGAACAATGAGTCTTTTAAATTAATGCTGCTGAAAAACTAAACAATACCAAAGAAAACACTTCGGGGGAAAAAAACATTCTTAATTTTTCCCAATAAATCTTTTTTTTCCATCCAGATAAAGCATCATTATCTTTGGACTCTGTGAGTAAGAACAAATTAAGCAAAGAAAGGAATTAAACAGAATGAGGTAGACAAGGTTCTTTGGGTAAATCTGATATATTTTATTAGTTGATCTAATAAAAGATACAGATTTACCCAAAGAACCTTGTCTCCCCTTGTCCTTAGACCAACATGGCTACAACCTATGCCCCTTAAACTGAATGAGTCACTCTAGCATGTACTCTGGTTTCAGCTTCTATGTTCTAGAAGGTATGTATTGAGGAATTTTCCTGAGATAAAGTGTTTCTTTTTCTCCCTCACAATTCAAAAAACTTTAGCAATAAGATCAATGATTTGCTGTTTTTATGAAGTAGATGTTTATAAAGTTTTTTTTTTCTTTCATTGCATTTTTTTGTCCTTATTGTTCGTATTTCCCTCATGTGTAGAGAGGCCTTGCTCAGGGACCCACTGCACTGAAAACTGTTCATAATAGTCAATTTTTCTTAAATAAGCACAATGTTATAGTACAGGATTTCAGTTTATCCTATAGTTTATCTTGTATTTATTACAACATATACAAATAGTGGAAGTGTAGGTTCAGATAAATTGCATTCACTTCTCTGCATACTGTACCTTACGGAAAGGGAGTACAGGTTATTCTTCTCATTACTCTTCCTTAAGAGATAGCTTCCATCACATCCATTGGAAAGAAGCAGTGCTTCCGCTGCATGACGGGTGAGATTATCATGGTACCAGCTAGTAAGAAAAAAACATTAAAGATTCACTCATTTTGTCTGGCATCTGGTGAATTGTAGAGCCATAATAACTCCACGGTGAAGGTTATAATCAGGTCTGAAGTCTTAAAAATGTCATACTTTCTCTCTTACACACACACAGTGCGAAGAAAAACTCCTTTTGGCCTGGAATCTTTCTCAAGAGAAGAATCTCTTTGGAAAACTTGAAATAAATGGCTTAGTCATTTTAAGTGAAATTTTAATACTGTTCTGACCTTTGGAATGGAAAAGTATAACCTTTATCATTTGCTTAGCTGAAAAAAGAGCTTGGTTTTAGATCGCTAACCTTTTTTTGCAGTTAAGTCCAATGAGGAGCTAACACGCAGTTCTGGTGTGAAGCCCAAAGTGTCATAACTGTAGAATCACACGCTTCCCTCTGCTGAATGTTACCAATGGTAGCAAATTGCAGCGTATTATGCCAAAAATCCAAATAATTTCAACATCTTATCCCAAATAGGGCCTTCAGATACCCTGGTAAATGACTTGGAGTAGGGCAAAATAAAAGTTCTCTCCTGCTTTCTACAGTGTGCTTCCTGCACATCTACACATTTTTTTTTAATTAGAAATCCACCCAGAATTTAATGACATTTTCACCTGCACTGACTTTCTCTCTTGAGGACTCATTAGGAGAATAATGCCAGCACCAGATTTCTTGAATACCCAGTGTTTCCATTTTGGAAAATAAATCTCCACACCTTGGGTGCAGGCTTTAATCAAAGTAAATTTGCAGAAAAACCTAGAATGACCCACTTACACTGATGGGAGCAATAGTTTCCATCTAAAGGTGTCAGGCATACAATACTGGACAAAAGCAGGGTTGAGCACTCTGATGGATTTATTACTATTCACTAGGAGATAGGACAAGCTGGATAAACAAATGCAATGTAAATATATGTAAATCCACAAGCCAATCTGTCACTTCATTGATGTTAACCCAATGCTGGCAGCCCAGATGTGGGTAAGCCATTTTAACACTATGTCATTTGACTGTGTTCTGAATAGGCCTAAAAAAGATCACTGGCACCTCCGCTACACGACAAGGCTCCCATCATAGAGCATAACTAGTAGTAGGAACCATGAAAAATTTTCATAACATTTCTTCTTAGTGAAAGTAGGGTCATAGAGGAACAGAGGCTGTATTCATCTGGTAAGGGTGTGAAGCAGAGAAGATTCTCTGGAAAAAGTCAATAATGATCTGGTAGAACTGCATTCCACAGTCACTGGATGCAAGTAATACCTAAGAGTATTTATTCTGAGCAAGAACCCCAAACACGTTTTCATTTTATTTTTTCAATTTATAAATGTGTCTATGTGCCAGCATTTTGTGTACTGTTTAAATGCTTTCCCCCTGGGACTGCTTAGTTGGAAACTAAGTGAAGATGCCTCACCCCCATCCCTTTTTAGATAGAATAGGCTGTTTAACCAGGTACTCTTTCAGAAAATGAATTTAAAAAAATCTTCAAGATAGACTCCCTCAAGATATTTATGAACAGCTTATTGGTTACTGTGTCAACTGCAACAGTCTGAATGTAATTTGCATGATCGAAACCCCCCCCCCCCAATTATACAAAAATACATGTTTTCAGTGGAAAAAATTCTATACAATTGTAAGTTCAGTCTGCTGTTTTTCTAAATCTGTATTTCCTGGTGTACATTGTAGTATACTTCCTCTTTTGGGTAAATGTTTCATGCAACATGTACTATTTGTAGCCAAAGGCAATGGCATTAAGAAATCCCCTCTAAATTAACACATTTCTGGCAACTCAGTTTATCTCTATGTCTAAACACAAAGATCAATAGATCTGTCTTGACAGACCTCCTCAGTGGAAGAAGCAGAACATTTTGCAGGGATGAGGAAAAGAGTAATGGCATTTAAAACAACGTTCTGTGGTCATGTTTCAATCAAGATGCTGAAACCTCCAGCACCAATCCAGCAAAGCCCCTAACTTTAAAAACATGAATAATCCATTTGATGCTCCCATTGGGAAGAAAGTTTGTGGTTTCCTGGCTTAGTTCCTGGAGAAGAGTATCAAAGAACTGGGTAAATAAGAATAACCTTGGGTTTAGCACAAAAGGGTACAAATCTAAAAACCCAGAGTACCAAAGACTGTAAAAGTCACTGTACCTAAGCATAAAAAATAATCATTTGTACAGAATCTTGTCTGAAAAATTGGGTGGCAGAAGACTGAAAAAACAATATCTGTCAAGTGGAACTGTGCACCAGTTAATAAATTACCAGTGATAACATGAGTGTCTTAAAGGACAACAAGAGATTAAAAGGGGGATTTTGAGTACAAATTGACTTACCATTATGAGCTACCAAGTTCTTAGACCAAATTTTGCTTTCAGCTCCACTAGTGATTGATATAGTTTAGTTTTTAGCCCAGCTAAAAAGAAAGCAGAAGTTGGACCACAGCATTTCTGTGCATTTGTGATATAGCTGTCATCAAGCTGATATGTAAAACTCATTCAACAATGCAAATGACTATTATATTGGCTACCTACAGCCTCTTAATTGTCATTTCATACTGCAAATTGAAATCTAGTTAAGAAACTAAATCCAATTAGTTAATATCTCCTTCATAAAAATACTTCAGAATTGTACGCCCTATGGAAGACTAGACCCCTATGAAACTTAGTGGAGACAGAAACTTAACACTGCCAAGACTGCTTTAGGTGTAAGACCTGTTCCAAGAACTGTGTACACAGTAAGAAATAAAGCATAATGAACATTTAAAGATCAAAGTGTTATCCTTTAAAACACCTGTTAGCCAAAACTGGCTTGGTTACTAAGCACCAAAGTAACTAAAACAGTCTAAGGTCAGATTTGTGTTGTTCCGATACCATAATGACGAGATCAGCACAAATACCTATCTCAAACCAAGCTACAACAAAGGTCAAAACTATTTTGTGAAATTTAATATAAAACACCGGTTGTTCCAAAGAATTTAATAAAATGGCAATTTTCATAATGAAGTCAGAGTAAAAATGTCATTCATATTTAATGTATTCACTCTTTAAAAAAAAAAGATTTTTAAAAGTCTTCTTTTAAATTGAAAATTATAATGATTTCAATGAAAAATGAACCACCTTTATTTTCAAGCACAATAAATGAAATAGGAATTGGACCACTATCAAAAATTGAAAATGAAATGGGGAAAAAAAAGATTTGTTGCAATGTATTTTCTACTCTTTGCTGAAAATGTTCTCACATCTTTGACTCTCTATTTTCCTTAACACTGTTTTTTTATGGGTGAATGTACACAGAGATGTGGATAAATAAATTAGCTCTTGCTACTGTGAAGGGGTCAGCCCTCGCCCCGTCATCGTGCCTTGGGAGGACCTCGGCCCCATACCCGCTCTAGGGCCCCAGGGTTCTGCTATAGATGTGGGGAGCCGGGGCACATTACTTGGGAGTGCACCCAGCCTGAGAACCCTGGTTTGGTATTTGAAAGGTTAAAAGGGCGGTGGGCAGCGGGAAACGGGGAAGGGGCAGAGCAATGGAGTCAGCTCCGCTCTGGACCCAGACAGACTCCCGCACATTACCCTCAGTAAATTCACTGCCAAACGGGCTAGTGGGACCCCATGCAGAAGTCCCCGCTGAAATAGCTGGGGTGGAGAAAGGAGTGTCAACCATTGCTCTAGTATGCCCTGATCTGGGGTGGATGAAAGGGGCCACTCTCATTGTAGGGACCAACTCCAGCCTTTTCCAGGTTCTTGCTCGCTACTGTAAACAACAGGCTGGCCCAGGTTACCAACAACAGTTAACAATGCATGCCTTGTGCTCAGAGGCGTATGACCGATGGGAGCATAGAAAGATGTGGGGTCACCCTGAGGTTGTGGGGACCCTGCACTTCTCTGGAGCAAAGCCCCAGTGAGTCCCTGCACAGGGCCAATGGGCTTTGCCTACTGTATGCAATTGGATTGAGAGGGATGAAAATAATAAGCTGCTGGTGGTGGAGACTCCCACTGGGAGAGAGAGACCCGGTGCGCTGAGGGTCCCTGATGGTGTGATCAAGACAAAAGGGCTCAACCAAGACCCGGTCACATTGACAGTGGTTAACCCAACCTTGAAAGATATTGTGGTCCACCCAGGACAGAAAGTGGCCTTGATAAAGGAAGCTGAAGTGGTGAGCCCTGAGCAGGAGGGAAACCTCCCTCCAATTGACCCTTCAAGGTTCTTTTTCGGGAACTCCCCAATGTTTGAAGCCTGTAAAGCTCAGCTCAGGGACAAACTCAAGGCTCGAGCCTGTGTTTTCTCCCTGCACGACTGGGATGTGGGCGAGGCTAAGAGGGTGGAGCATCACATTCATCTGAGCAACCCACAACCCTTTCGCGAATGGTCTCGGCTCACTCCCCTCGCTGAGATGGGGGAAGTAAGACGTCATCTGCAGGAGCTCATGGACCACCGCATCATCACGGGATCTAAGAGCCCTTATGCCTCTCCCATTGTGATTGTGCGGAAGAAGAAGAGCCAACCCCATATGTGTATTGATTACCAGACTTTGAAGGCCGGACCATCACTGACCAATACACTGTCCTGTGGGTGCAGGAGGCTTTGGATTGTTTACTAGGGAGCAAATGGTTTTTGGTACTAGACCTCCACAGCGGCTACTATCAGATACCTCTGTGGCAACAGGACAAAGAGAAGACTGCTTTTATTTGCCCCTTGGGATTCTATCAGTTTGAGCGAATGCCCCAAGGGATATCTGGGGCTCCCGCCACCTTCCAGCGACTAATGGAGAAGGTGGTTGGCAATATGCATGTGACCCAAGTACTGGTTTATTTAGATGATATTATTGCTTTCAGAAAGACCCTGGAGGAACACAAAGAATGGCTACTTGGGGTACTTGGTCAGCTGGAGACCTCTGGACTTAAGTTGGCCATTGATAAATGTAAGTTCTGCCAGGTCTCTGTGAAGTACGTAGGACATATTGTATCACAGGAAGGGGTCAGCACTGA